GAGGAGAGAGAAAAAAAAAAACAAACAGCTAAGGATTCATGAGTAGAGATAAGAGCTGGGAGAGGTCAATTACTGATTAGTTTCACAGGCAAAACAGACTCAAAGTGGGGATAGTACTTAAATTTATTACTAACAGGATGAGACAAAGAGTGAGAAATGAAACAGCCTTAAAAACACCTTCCCCCCCCTCCTTCCTTCCATGTTCTCCCTCCTCCCCCCCGAGCCGTGCAGGGGGATGGGGAATGGTGGTTACGGTCAGTTGTTGTTTCTGCCGCTGCTCAGAGAGAGGAGTCCTTCCCCTGCTCCCGTGGGGTCCCTCTCATAGGAGACAGTCCTTGATGGACCTCTCCAGTGTGAGTCCATCCCTCGGGTAGCAGTTCTTCCCAACTTGCTGTCCTGTGGGTCACTCCTCCATGGGGTGCAGTCCTTCATGAATGAGCTGTACCCACATGGGTCCCCCACAGTCCTACCTGGGAAAAACCTGCTCCAGCGTGGGCTTCCCTCTCTATGGGCTGCAGGTCTCCGGCAGGACCCTGCTCCATCTTGGGCCTCTCATGGGGTCACAGCCTCCTTCATGCATCCACCAGCTCCAGCATGGGCTCCTCCATGGGCTGCAGGTGGGTCTCTGCACCCCAATGGTCCTCCATGGGCTGCAGGTGGGTTTCTGCACCCTGATGGTCCTCCATGGGCTGCAGGGGCACAGCTGCTCCACCATGGTCTGCACCACAAGCTGCAGGGGCCTCAGCTCTGGTGCCTGGAGCACCTCCTGCCCCTCCTTCTGCACTGACTGTGGTGCCTACATTGTTATTTCCATGTTCTCACTCCGCTCTTCCCTGGCTGGAATTCCTTCTGAGCCACAACCTTCTGTTCTTAAATATGTTATCACAGAGGCATTAATATTACTCCTAATTGGCTCAGCCTTAGCCAGTTGCAAGAAGTCCATCCTGGAGCCGGCTGGCATTGTCTCCATGGGACAGAGGAAGCCTCTAGCAGCTTCTAACAGAAGCCACCCCTGTAGCCCCCCCAGCTACCAAAAGCCAGCCACAGAAACCTACTATACCTGTCAATACAGGCCTTAGGTAGTATTAATAATATACCTTGATAAGATACTTAATTAATATACCTTAATAAGATACTCAGTCTTCTCCAGACTGAATGGAGCCCCAGTCCTAGATCTCTCAGCCTTTTCTCTTAGGAAAAAATGCTCTAGTCTCTCTTGTAACCCTTTGCTGGACACTGTCCAGTAGCTCCATATCCCTCTTGTACAGTGGATATACCAAGCTACACTCTTCATATATAACTCTTACAAAATCTTTTAAGATATTTCAAATACAAGTTGCATGTAAGATGCTTTGGGATTTATTTCCTCGCCTTTTCTTCTAATTAACCAACATGAGATGATTGTTGTATCTTCTTGGTATAACTTGATCCTAAGACAGGTCAAAAGATCGTGGCAGAGAGGCACTTAAGTTTTTTCAGCTTTCAGGACATTCACATAATAAAGATCTCCAGACAAAGCTCTCACTTTACAGTCTGTTCCAGACTACAGTTTCTGAGACCTTTATACATATAAGCCTTTCAGTTGTGATTGTTGTACAAAGGAGGAAGACCTCATATATAGTTCTGCTACAGAATAAATAGCCATTTGCAAAAGTGGTGTTGGATTACTGTACCTTCACACAGCCTTCATGCAAGTCTACAGGGGGCTCCAAAACTCTTTGCAGTGATCTGTTTTGGATTAAATTACTGTAATGAAATTTACATCAAAACCAATTTCTGAATGTATCCATCTCTCTTCCTATACTCAATCAGGAATGAAGGAACGAAAGAAGGGAAGAAGAGAGGAAGGAAGAAGAGGATAATATTGCATTCATTGATTCATTCATCATTTCTTTTTCCATTTTTAGACAGTAAGATTATTTCATCTGCTCTCATATGAATTATAATTAGTAGCATTAATAAGGTGCTTAGCCTACATTGAAAGAAAATTAATATTATTAGCCAGAGAATAATTCTCTAAGGCATGTCACATGCAGTGACATTATAACTGTAAATGCTTTCAACATTGAATTCTGCTATGCACATATCAGTATCCAAAAGCAGAAGACACATGTGGTCCCAGAGTTTATCCAGAGGCTTTGTATTTTTGATTTTTGACATGGATTGTAATCATACTCTTTAGCAGTGGTTTAACAAGTCACAAACATGAAATATTCAAATAAGTATTTTATTCATGTGTTTTTCTCCTCCTAGAATGGAGATTGTCTTACAATTGAATTATTGTCCAATTTGGTATTGATTCTCAATAAAAACCAAAACAAATGAAAATGGAATTGTTTTGTATTTAGAATTCTCAGTCTGGAGTGGACTTCTCCATCTTGCTAGAAAGGCTGTTATTTTTCAAGATGGTTCAGTCTTGATATATATATATATCTTCAATCTTTTTCATCACTGGTACCTAACAGTCCTAATTTTTACTTCTACTTGCAACTTTGGAGGTTTTTTTGGTTTGTTTTTTGTTTGTTTGTTTGTTTGTTTGTTTGTTTTAGTCATCCACAAGGGTTTTCCACAACATTTCCCAGTGAGCAGAAAACATATTGTAAGTTTCTTTTAGAACTGAGTTAAAGTTGTGGGGTTTTTCCCACCTGAGGTCAAAGGTTTCTGATGTTGTACTATAATGTAGTTTTCCATACACTCATTTTTATTTCATATGCTGGGTTGTCTTCACTTAGAAAGTTTTGTAGTATATTGTTATACCTGGGTTATTTTGTTCTTATTGCTTTTGCAAGCTACATTCTTCTATGCATAAATACTAATTTCTACCTACTGAATGATAAAACCACTTTTTCTGGAAAGATTACAGTTTTCACTTTTTCAACTTTTCTAGAAAATTTTGTTGGACTTTTCTACTGTAGCATCTTCAGAGGCATGCCAAGAAAATACTGGTTATTGACATCAGCAGTACAGTGAATGAATCTACTTTGTCTGACTTGCTTGATACATTAGGACTGGAATTTTCAGTGGAGGTTAATAAAAATAAGTACTTCAATTGAAAAAAAAAAAGCTATATTATTCCTTCAGACTCCTTCAGAAATGACAGTCGTAACTTTTTTTTCATGTTAATAATGCAGGAGACGAACTAAACGCATTTTCTACTTCCTGGAGAAACTATGCCATATTTCATCATAGGAATCTTACAAGACAGAAGCAAAACCAAGTAGCCAGACCCCCAGCAGAAATAAAATTTGATGCTTGTATTCTAGTAAATGACAGTCAAGGATCTGTTTCCTGATTAGGCTAACTCCACTGTCCCTGATGCTTTTGTAATGAACTCTAAAGGACAGTACATGAGGAAACTCATGTATCTCCTCCAAGTTTGTTCAAAATTCCTGTATTACCACCACTAAATTTGTATCTCTGTTTTATCCCAAGCTTTTTAAATAGTATGCTTCTCTCCTACAGAAGTTTGACACATCTTCTAAGAGCCTGTGGTCATTCTGGAAAAGAGCAGTGGGTTTTAATGTTACCACCTCTACATCACTAAATAGCCTGAAATAGCATCATGTCAGCTGCCCTGCTTTCCAGCTTGCTGTTTAAACAGTGGAGACACTCTCTGGGGCAGCAAGGAGGCAGAAAAATGTAATGGCAGCAGCAAATGACCAAATAGGCTTGGATAAGATAAATATTGCACAACAGAAAAAGAAATAGTAAAATCAAATGCAGACAGTAAAACCAGCTAACGCTCAGTAGCTTACTACAATGTGAATGCCAATAAAAATGATAACACATGCATACTTTTATCTAATACAAGAACTCAACCGACCGAATGCTGGTGGCCACTGAAAAAAGTGATAAAGTTTCAGGGTTGATACAACTGGAGTGAAAGCTGCTCTCTCTTTACAAAACCTGATTTACAAAAGAGTATTATTCTGTTATCTCCTACACTGAAAACCCTTCCTCAGCACATCTCAGTTTCCCACAAAGGTTTTCCCCATTTTTGTAAATAATGCAGTCAATACCTTAAAATCACTAAATGTGCTGTGCTGCCTTTTGCCCATTGCTTCTGAAACTAGACTTCTTGATGGAAAATATCCAAAGAAATACATATGTTTAACTGCACATACTGGCATAATTTATGTAGGCACCAAAACTAAATATCTGTTCATAGAAACTTAATAAGGAAGCGACATTTTCCTGAAGAAAGCCGATTTGCTCTGGTTTGCACTGAGAACAGAATCAACTTGGGGTACACAGGAAGAAGGACTGTAAACTCATCTTTAACCCTTATAATACTGCTATTCTACAATATGATTATTTACAAATATGAACTGTTACTTGTTTACACAGGCGATTATTTCTGGAATCAAAGAAACACTTCAGTATATCTAGAGATATAGGAAACCTCTTGAAAAATATAAGGAACAATTGCTCTTCAGCCTCAGAGAAGCTCTGAAGGGCAAATTGTTTGGTTTGACTGTTCTACATAATCAGAAATGGACCTCACATTAGTGATTTCGATAATTCAGAGAACTCACTAAAATAATTAGCAAATTAGTTTTGCCAACAGTGAACAATACAGCCACTTCATTTGAAAATAATTTTATATAGATACCATCTGGTCACTTTTTGAATTAATATATTGTTTTATAAGGATAACCTGAACAGGTCAGATGGCACCCAGGAGCTCAGGGCATTGGATTTAACTACTCAGCTTTGAAAGTCCACAGTTACGTGACCACATCTCTGCTAAAGTCCATGCTCTATAGACTACCTTTATAGTTAAAGACGAGAATAGGACATAATAATTTTGGCCATAAAGTAGATACTACAAGAGCTCAGATTATTGTGCTTTTTAAATGACTGTTTCTTTCCCCTAAGTATAAAGGACAAGTATGACAGATATACTGTAGACATCCAAATTGCTGGTCAGAATTTAGTGAACATGAACACAAGTCTTCCGTGAATTCCGTTGATTGTTGTTAGAAGCACATGTAACATACCTACACTCCAGTCCATTTCCTCCACTGCATCACCATATAAGCCATGCTTGCTCTTTCCTCTGAAATTTTCTGAAGCATACAGAGCAGTGTGGACATGAAGATAAGACAAGGCAAGAAGAAATGGTGCATCAGTGTTCCTGGAAAACAAACCAAACCAAATCCACAACTCCTTAGTATATTTTAGAACAAAATGACTACAAAGAAATCTTTCAACAGTAGAGTTAAAAAAAAGACTCTCCCTCTTCCCTGGCCTCCCTTCAAAACAAACCAACTAACCAACCAACAAACCAAAAAAAACCCCACCAAAACAAAAAAGAGAAAAGGAATACTGTAATTGATTACAGAGTAATCCAGAACAAACACACACCCAGTGAAAATGCCATTCTTATACTGAATTGAAAGCAAAACTAAATTACTTAATTCACCTAATTACTAGTTACTATATATATTGAAAGAGGACTTGTTTAAAGCCAGGAATCCAGCGTTTTCTAGAAAAAAAACACCTCTCTTCATTTTACAAGTATATATTTAAAAGCCTGAATACAATTGCTGTTCAAAAACATACCCTCAGAACTACATATCTACACGAAACACAATTACCTTCCTCACAAAGTCATGTGGAAGCTGATCTACTAGACTATTATGAGGACCTGGGTCTTTATCCTGGACTAAGGTATATGACCAACCCTCCTTTCATTTGAAGCTCTGTGTGTGTATGCATGTGATCAGAACCTTGAAGTACATACTGATATTAAAGATTTTTCTCCTCAAAGTAATGAACAGTCTCCTCTGTCTTCAGTGTATTTCCTGAACAGATGCATTAGAAAGAGCTCAATAAATAGACTCTGTAAATTTTGCTGTTCATGTGATCTGTCAACATGATATTTATGATTAGTTCTAGCAGGCTGTGAAAGCACAGCTTAAGCAAGTACTTCTCCTTATGCATTATTTATAAAACTTTACTTAAAACTGTGCCGTACTAACCAAATTTACTGCTATATACTCTAACAGCATTTGCAGTACATTATGCATATTTTAAATATCAGCTGAATCACAAAAGCACTACCCACACAACTTGTCTGGATCTCACCTTAAAGCACACAGCTAATTGCAGTCTATTTTTAGTTTTATTTACCATATTTTCCCTTGCCAGTCTGGGGTGGATAATACCTGTGATTCATGTCAGCATCAAAGGGAGACTATATATTTCCTCAAGCAGTTGATTCATTCACCCTTTAAAGAGGGGAGGAACAATACAGACATGCTCATACAAACTGTTCCTTTAAAATTAACAAAAAATCCTAACCTTTAGAACCTGAAAACAAAGTATTTTAGTAAAAGACATTAATCTGATATCAATACTTTCATCTTAAAGAAAAAGAATTAATTTTAATGTAGTATATTTATGATGCATTTTCCCTCTCTCCTTGGTTCGATATGTTTTTGCAAAAGTTGCATGTTTTTTTACTGGCATACACAGCAGCACATAAACTCAAAATGGGAACATTTTATCCGCATTACTCCCTTGATAACTGTGTTTTTGACAGGGATTTTTACTTTATAAATATATTCTCTTTCTTCAAAAAAAAAACTACAACATTTTCTTGTGGAAAATGGATACAAAATTATTTTATTTCTCTTCCAAATATTTGTGCATGTATCCTGTATTAGCTTAGTATTGTGAAGTAGAGATTAAAAAAAATAATATTTTTTATAAAAGATACTGTAGTGGGGGGAAAACAGTTTTTCCCCCTGCAGTTATAAAATGGTAAAACCCCAGGGGATGGTGACCCTGGAAGTTTGGAAGTTTTATCCAATGAGCGCTTCTGTGAAATGTAAACATACCACAAGCAAACAGAAGAGACTAGTTGTAGTTTGGTTGTAGAAGTGGTAGCCATGCTCTGACACCACTAGAAAGGGGCTCGGAGCCCCTTGGGGCCTCTGGAGACTTGGAACATCATAATGCTGGGCTAAGTATCTGCAGCTAGAAAGCTGGGAGTTTTTCTCCACTGTGAGTGAGCAGCAGAAGCAGCGGCAGAACAACACTGGCCGGAGCGGTGGCAGAGAGTCAAGAGAGATAAGACTGAGCAGTGACAACAACATGCAGCTGAGTGAGGAAGACACAGAGATGTCTAATGAGAGAGAGAGAGAGAGAGAGCAGGACTGAGCTCTACACAGAGTTTTGGGGGTAAGAACTGAACCAGACCCCCCAAAACCCTTTTGAGACCCCTCTTAAGTTGGGGTGGTGGACTCCTACTGGATGGAAGTCCTAAAATGCAACATGCAGCACCAGAGAGAGAGAAGAGCTTAAAAGCTCGGAGAAAGAATGTGGAGGGAGTGACCTGGGCTCCCCCCTCGCCATTGCTGCCAAGTTGGCAGCTTGAGGCAGAGCACGGGAGCTCTGCAAAGGGGCTTGAATCCCCTAAAGATAAGGACTGTCACGGAGACCCCGGAGCTTCATGATATGGCTTCTGTGTCCTGGTGAACACAGCCTATGGAAGAAGACCCTTGCTTGAAACGAGTGGCCAAGGGGGCTTGGATTTCCCCCTCGTGTGTGCTGGCAGAGATCCAGCCATGGCTGCTGCTGCATGAGAAGAAGATAGATGCTGCTGCCCTATAGAGAAACTGCTGCTCTGAGACTGGAAAGGATCTTTCCTTCTTCCCTCCTGGACTTTTATTTGGAGGGGAGAAGAGATCTGGTCCATTGTAAATACTGATTTGTCATGGTAGAGATAGTTGAGATCGTGTGTATAATGTATTATAATATTTATGTGTACAGTCATTGTAATATATTCCCTTTCTTCCATTCTAAGTCTCATGTGGTTGTCTGGAAAAAACCTTCTCACCTTGAGTTGAGATGTGGGAGGGGGCTTTGACTAGAGAATTAAATTTTTGAGGCTCTCAAACCATGACAGATACAATTTTCACAAAGTTGGTTATTGCTATTTGAAAGGTCATACATGTGAGAACTTTTCAATTTTTTAGCAACAAATAACACAGGACTTCCGAGTCAATTAAAACGCTTGAAAATATCACCACTTCAAGCAAAAAAAGATGTATACTTATAAGTTAAATATTTAATATATACATAAATATAACACTGACCTTTCATTAGAGAATATTTCTGCAAGGCAGATATTTTTGTTTTATAACTTTGTATTTTTCCTTCCTTGGATTTTCATTTATGTTTTCCTTAAACACAGTTCACTGAATTGAGATTAATATACAAATACTAGGGTAAAACACCACAAAAATTTACTTTATACTCATGACAGTGCAGGCAAAATTTACTTTTCATGTAAACTGCCTTGTTCTAATGCCACAGAGATACCGCATTCTTCTAAATGTACACCTGCTTTGCTAGAAGTATCAAAAGCCTCCACTATAAATGTTATTTTCAAGACATAATAACTTGAGTTCTTTGAAGTTTTCTTTTTTGTTTGTTTGTTTTGTTAATAGAACTGACACAAAGATCTAACTTTCCTGAAGCGTTATCGAATCAATGGTTGATATAGAAGGCCACTACATCATTCTTTTCTTTCCAACTAAAATTGACAGGTTCTGATTGACAGCTTGCTGGCAGGTGGAGAAGAGTCTCACCTATTAATATCCTATAAAAGAACAGACACAGCTATTTATCTCCTGCCAAAACTCTTTGAGGAGTATTATAACTGACTACCTCTACCACGACCTTGAAAATGGAATGACAATAACAGCTAGGAGGTAGGAGAGAAATTTGACAAAAACAGCTTAACTCCTGAACTTCAATAAACAGCTCCTTCAAAAATTATTCCCACTATCTTTTACACAGTGCAAACACAGGGAATCTCAGTTTCAAAAGATCTGAGATTTTTTATCCTAACATGAATCACACAGTCTTTTCAATTTATGGGGTAGCCAGAGAGATTACATAGATCTGACACAAGATATTCTTTAGTGTGTTTTTAATGGATCTTGAAAACATCTAAAAGCATCACATTGCTGGTGATTCCTCTGCATTGCAAAGTACTGGGTTCTTTTTTACTGTGAGGAGTCTTTATACTAATCAAAGATTCAGCTCAGGCTAGAGCTGTAAAACACAGCTTTAAAGTGGGTGAGTGAGCAATTAAAACTAATCTGACTTTGTGCTCCAAACACAAGTCTTTTAACTTTTTTTCCTGCAAATCTGCTCCAAATACTGCTCTCTGCTTTGAAAACTCCTCGGGCAATTTTGTTTGCTTTTCTGTGCACTGATGTGGTGCAGTTGACACACTGCAAGGAAGGGATACCACCCAGAGGGACCTGGACAGGCTTAAGAGTTTGGTCCATGAGAACTTAATGAAGTTCAACAAGGCCAAGTGCAAAGTCCTGCATCTGGGTGATGTCAATCCCAAGCACAAATACAGGCTGGGTGGAGAATGGATTGAGAGCAGACCCAAGGCAAAGGACTTGGCAATGTTTGTTGGCAAGAAGCTCCATATTAGCTGGCAATATGTCCTTGCAGTCAAGAAAGTCAACTGTATCCTGGGCTGCACCAAAAACAGCATGACCAGCAGGTCTCCTTGAACGCTTCCAATGATGGGACATCTACAGTCATGTTACCTGTTCCAGTGCTTTGCCACCCTCTGAGTAAAGAATTTCTTCTTAACATCTAATCTAAATCTCCCCTCTTTCAGTTTAAAACTATTGTCCCTTGTCCTGTCACTATCTGTCTATATAAAAAGTCCCTTTCCTTCCTTTTTATAAGCCCTCTTAAGGTACTGGAAGGCTACAGTGAGCCTCCTCTACTCCATGCTGAACAACCCCAGATCTCTCAGCCTGTCCTCATAGGAAAGGAGTTTCATCCCTCTGATCATCTCCATGGCCGTCCTCTGGATCTACTCTAAGAGGTCCCCATCTTTCTTGTGCTGAGCACTTCAGACCTGAACACAGTACTCCAGGTGAGGTAACAGTGTGTTGACACAGGCAGATGCAAACTTAACTTTTCCTTTCCTGTAACTCTCCTTTTACTAAAAGGATCTTCTTATTCAGTATCCTCTCAGTGGATAAATTAATGCTTATTCCCCATAGGCACCTCCTCTACTTCCAGATTAGATCACCAATTAGACAGTGATCTTTGTGATAGGACTGGCTGAATGCACTCATTAAGCCTTCTTAT